TGCACACAACGGTCTACCGTCTACGTGCTAGAGGCTGAAGCACCAACCCCTTGTTGTACCTGGAGGAACCTGGAGGAAGAAGAGTTCTTGGTTCTGTCCTGGTCCTCTGTCGGCTGCGTTGGATGTTGGTAAGCCGTTGGTGGAATCACGGATGGGAGAAAAAAATTCGAAATACCCCGTCCGCCAGAAGAGATGCAAAAACGTATGCGTATGTATGTGGGTGCCACCGCAGTTCGACCTGCGGGCTACTTGGGGCTACAAACAGCTGCCTACAAAACGAACGGTAGAACGAGCAATGAATGACGAGCGGTGCACACATATCGGAGACGATCTTGTCCGCTCTTTCTGATTGAGCGATTGGACACAGAATAGAACGTTGTTCGTGGTCTGCTGCAGGTATGCAGTTGCTTCGGTTCCTTGGTTACACCGATCTACTGTGTGGAGTAGTCTATGTCGGACATCGGAGACCCTCGTGGCTTCTCACAATACAAATAATAACTGCTCACGGCGTGTGCTCGCTCGCTCTCTTCTCGGGCGTGGTCATATACGCGGGGTTTGAGTCAGCCACATGCCCTTCTCTTCAAGCGGAGTCCGTGTGATTAACCGTGCCCACGGCCAGCTGGGCAGGCAAACACAGTTGCAGCGGCCGCAAAGTCTGTCGTACAACGCATGGCTCAAGAGGTCACACCGCACACACTCCCACGAACAGCTGACAGTCCCGCCGCCGCACCGTCCCGCGATTGATCTCACCCCGAGAAAAACGGACGGTGTTAAACTCTAAGATACCGCCCCCCCGCCTTCGGGCCGAGGCTGTACAGTAGGTCTTCAATACTGGATACGTTTTTTGTAGCGACCATCGGGTACAAGAGGGCTATTGAACCATCAGGGATGTGTGCACCGCACGCTGTTTTTTCTGTTTGTTGTTCTCCCCGGCGGTTCGTTGTGGTCGGGGTCACACAGGAGGGGAGGGCCACACGTGAGAGCTGTATCGAAGAAAAATTGGCTGGACCCACACCGCCGCGGCTAGCCGACCTGCCCAGCACCCAACAGCAGCCCCTCCGGTGTATTTAATTCGCGCAGCAGGCCAACAGTCCTATGCACATTTGGTTTTCATTTGAAGATGTTACCACACTGTAGAGTTTGAAACAGCGGGAGGGCTTGTGAGCTTGACCGTAAATAAAGAGCATGTAAATGCTTTGCTGCTGTATGTACGAGAGACTTGCTGTACGTACGTGTAGACGTGTAGACCGCGGTGTCATTCCAGGTGGAGAGCCACGGAGTATCCCAATTCCACGCACACTGCGCCACCGTCGCGGCCGCGCTACGCGCTGGGCGCGAGACACGGCGCGCAGCACCTTGTGTGCCTTGGTCTCCCTCCTCGCGGAAGAGTCGGAGGCTTAAACATCGAACAGCGCGTTTTTGAAAAGGGACGACAACAACTACTGCGGCCTACAAAGTTAAAGTTTTGTTTTATATGTACAGATTCCACGCACAATCACCAGCAGACCACCACCACCAACGTTCCGCTGTTCGCTGCTTCGTCAGAACAATGTACTTGGCAGTGTATAAAATACTTGTACTGTAGGCCGCCTCGATAGAGCATGACTACTGTACCTACTTTTGTGACACGGCAACAACCAGTACACATGCATATGGTAGGTCGCCGATCTTCTGATTTCATACGCACACAACTTCTACCACCGTTTGGTGCAGTTTGGTAGCCAGGAGGTGGTGTTTTGGTCCCCAGATCGTGGTACGCCAGGCACAGCAGTACGCACATACCATGATTTTTTTCATCTCTTCTTGTGGCCTACGGGGTACTTATATGTAGTTGTCCCCCGCCCGTGATTTCCACCCTCGGGGTAATGACATTTGATCCCTCTCACCAGCTGCCTCTCACTACACCCTTTCTGCCCCTTGCACGGCACAGCCAACCCGGCCGGCAAAGGAACAGGACAGGATCAACAGCTCTTCTTCCTCTAGGTATGGTAAGGTATTGATGTTTAGTCTAACAGAGTGCAGACGGTACAGACCGGTGTGTGCGTATCAACGACGGCACACATATAGATCATGGCCTCTTGCGGAAGGTAGAATCTACATTCTCCTCTCTATAGTTTGCCTTCGTTCTGGCCCCCCCGCGCTCCACACAAGATTCCTCCCGCCATAACGACACGGCCTTACACCTATAGTGCAGCGCAGCCAGCCAGTACGTGTGGATTAGCCAGTGCTGGTGAGATTGCATATGAAGTCTATAGTGTAGTGGCTGGTGATGTAGTTCGGGCGGTCGAACCTTCATCGATCGCAGCAATTGCAATAGTCTATGCCGATGATCGTACAACATGTACATATCAAAAAGCTGTTCGATCCCAGCCAGCCAGCCAGCCGCTCTGCGGTAGCGAACCGACATGAATGTTGACGGGGCTGGGATGATGCCAAAAGAACGCAGTCCACCTGCCCACTTACCAGACAATGTTGCAAGGCTCCACATTTTGAAAGATCGCAATGCTTAGCAAGCACTTGAAGTTCAGCAGGTCACCCTCAGCCCTATTCACGGTGCGATGTACAATCTTGAAGTGAGAGACACTCCGGGAGAGAGATGCAGCAGTAATGCCGCCCCTCGAACGAAAGATGTGTTGGAGTCTTTCCGGTGCCAACGAGTGTTGATACACCCTGCTACAATAGATGCGCTACAATTTGTCTAGACTATTGTACTATTTTACTACACACCTTTTTTTCGTGTGATCAAGCCGATGTAGTGTTCTGTGCACGTGAAGAATCGGTGATGCCAGCCAGCACTACTGCTGTAGGGCACCTACGCGTCAACTGGTAGATGGTCTCGTCTACTGAGCTGTCTGAAGTTCAGCCGTGGTTCATGTGTTCGCTTTGAAAACGAAGAGAATGAATGCTGCATGCACAACAAAATCGAAGGCAAACATCGCAAGAGGGGGTTGGGTGGGGGCCACAGGAGAGGAACCCTTGTGTGTGAATGGAGTGGAGCTACACGGCAGAAACGTTGTGAGCGCTTGTCATAAACCAGTCTCCAGTCGGTTTCAGTCCACTTGCTGAAAATGCTTTATCACATCCCTTTCGACCGAGACTTTATCTCGAACGGGTAGTAGTCTCTCTGTGAGGTTTACGTTCTAATATCAAACGAAACAAAGTGTGTTTTCCGTAGGACGCGTAAGATACTACTCCCCTTCGACCCATCTTGAAAGCTTGATTACTCCACGACCAAGAGGATGCCGAAATCAAATGATGCGTGTTCGGCAAGTTATCAACGAGACGGTTCCAACGCCGCCAGATTCGTCACCGCCGTTACTTTCTGCTGTGGAGTAATCGAGCTTTGAAAATCGGTCCGGGGGTGCGATATCTTTTGCACCCTACAACTACGGAATATCTCTAACAAGAAAAAAATGGTGTATGGATAAATGTATGCTATGCCGGCCGGTCGGCTCGGGGTATTCGTTTATCTACATGACAAGCCAACAAATGTCTTCGGCGTTGCTATATCTCGATATTCCGAAGCTGCTTCTTGTGCTTAGGTTTGAGCACGAAAACGGGGAGGGAATTCCTATCTCTGCACCCAACATTGAGGCCACGACGCGGAAGTGCTCGTTTTTGAAGCAGCGGCAAGGATGACTGCGAAGAGCACATAATGGGATAGGGCTTCATATCGCGAAACATAGGGCAAATCCTCTACAGATCTACCTCGGAAGGCTGCCGCAGTACATGAAGGCCATGCGTACGCATGTAGTTTTATTTGCACTGTTTGGCAACAAACGAAAACGCCCATCCATGTGGCGTTCGGATACCCCCTTAGAACAGGGCACACAACCTCCCCAACGTCTGCAGAGAGCGATTCTCCCTCTTTTCACGTTATTGGTGTCGACGGACGGATGTCTGAACCCAGGGCCAACTCCGCCACCCGCGGAATGGTGGGGGGGCGAAAACATAATGTGGGAGCTCCGGGTGCACCCTAGGCCTTTTTGGGTTCATGTACCACCTAAGACAGCCTGAAAGAGTACTCTAAGGTGTGCGGGCCCCCTTCATTCAAGGTACATCTACCCTTAGTCTGACGATCCCTCTGTTTGCACGAGCCGAACCCCAAACTTCGTGACCGATTGTAGGTAGAGTTAGCCTGCGACCACGGAAGGCGTAGGCGTTAGTTGGATCAGCACAGATGATAAAAATGTGGAGAGATGGACGTTTTTGTGCCAAGAACAACAAACACCAGTAATCCCAGTTCGTGCGACTTCGCTGAGATTCGAACTCAGGTCGCGAGCCTCAGAAGGTTACGATGATACTGACTGTGCGGTTCGATTCGCTCTGTATTGGTGTCGCTACCTTCGCCAAACAGACCACACTTCCTGGAGAAACCGCGGCGTAGTAGCCATGACAAATATTTCCAGCCGGCTGCTGGGCGTCCTCGGTGCTGCTGTATTCCTGTCCAGTGTCGCGGCCTACTCCTACTCTAGCGACGGCTGCTGGGAGAATGGCATCGGAGACGGGTACTGCGACCGGGAAAATAACAACGCGGAATGCGGTATGTGTACCTCCTGGTGATGTGATGTGCTCCGTCAGAAACAACGTTTGTCCAAGCCCTTGAACATTGGGCGCTGACACGATATCTAGAGGTAGACGGTAGCCAAGTGTGACGCCGAGTTTGGAGAGCGTCGCTCTCTTCCTGTTGTCTACATAGGCAATCGAGGATCGTTGGTACAGTAGGCGGCATGAGTAGTATGCCCGTCTGCCCCTCTCAAATACACGCCTGGGTAGTGGAGATCGCCCCACCCTTCGAAGGTGTGTCAACTATTGAATCACCGAGATCGTTGGGCTGTTGAAAAAAGTCTCGTGTCTATCGCTCTCTCTTTCGATTTACGAAATTAACGAATTTCGGGGCAGCATGTGCCTGGTCCAGTAAGCTTTCGGCACTCCCCCTCGTGACTGATTGCATGGTTATGACCAGCTGTGGGCCTACAACCCTCGTTGCAATAGGTCTGATGAGGCTCGTCTCTAACCTAGGGCCAATATCCTGCTTTCCTGTTGGCATTCGCTGTCGTCCCCCCTCGCCACCCGCCTTTGCAGGGTACGACGGCGGTGACTGCTGCGAGTGCACTTGCCAGGTACGATCTGTTTTTTCCGTTTGTTTTCTTTCAAGATGTTGACTCTGCTCTCTCGGATGGAGCTCTCCCCTTTCCGCCCTCGATACGCTAATTGAACAGAGTGCCCGATTGACAACACTTGTTCGTATTGGCACATTGCACATCGGATGCACATGCGAGGCGTAAATATACTCATGCAAGAAATTTCCATGCAAAATGGGCATGGGTCTCTCTCGCAATACCCCGTCATTGCCGCCCCGCCGTCGCTGAGAACCGTCGCTGAGAACTCTTTTCCTCCCCCGCTGTTGACGCCCCTACCTACTCCAGACTCAAAGCGACGACGACTTCTACTATCCGGAGAATTGTGATGCGGACTACATGGCCTGCGTCGACCCAGACGCCTCTTGCGTCGACGATGACGACGTTACTGTTGAAATGGTGGAGAACTGTGAATACGTCCACGATATCGGGGACGGTTACTGCGACGACGGGAACAACAAAGCAGAGTGCGGTACGTGGGTCCGGGAATAGAGTATTCAACGGAAAACGCTCGATTTCATCACAGAAGCACTTTCCAGCGGTTCTAAAACGTTTAGAACCAACAAGACCACAAAAATAGATTAGCCTGGCCTAGTGACATTGTCCTATTTAATTTGTGTTCTCTCGATACATGATTCTGTTCTTGGTCTCCTTTTCACCTTCCTTCATCTCACTGTTTGCATGAACCTACGGGGTGAATATGACGTTGACATGGTATTGTAGAAACTGGTCTCTCCCTCCGAAAGCATTTCTCGCGATAGGTCTTCTCTCTCTCATGAGGAAGAATGGTTTCAATGAGATTGAAGGTAGCATGGCGAAAAAATCGTTGCTAGGTGCGAATTCGGTGCATTTGGCAGCTCCTCTCGCCGTTTCTGTCTTGCACATTCTGTCGTTTTCATGACTTTCACGGTTGCCCCCCATGAAGCAGCCTGTAGGTATGTGTTGATCAACATCAGACATGATCGGTTTGAAAAGAAGACCCACTTTCTCATGCATCATTGCCTCCTGAAATTGTGTTGGCATGCAAACCTGCTCGGCCCCATCCCAACTGCAAGGTCTGGTATGACCCTGGTATTTGTTCGTCTGTCTCTTTCTCCCGCGTTCGTTGCTTTTTGTCCGTTTCTATCAGGCTACGACGGCGGTGACTGCTGCGAGTGCACATGCGTGGTGAGAATATTGTGAATCGTAATCGTGAATGGGTTCTCTTAAAGCAGTTTGCATCTCGATCTTCGGTAGATTTCGCTCCCATCGCCCTTCCTCTATACCTCTACCGCCGGTTTGAATCTAACGTTCGACAATTTAGTTCGTTCTCTTCGCCTCCGGAGTGCAAAGAACCATCAGTGTGCACATTCTAAGCAACAAAAGCGCTTGAAATACCCGTTGGCATTACAAGGGCAGGGCACTCAGAATATTTTGTCTCGATGTGTGACTCGCCTTTCATCTCTGAGGCTGAATATTCTCCCTCTCTCTCACCCTTTTGCACAGACGTCTCTTCCTTTTATCGGTACGCATGCAAACGGAAGATGTCCTAAGCGGGTTCCGTGATTCTCCTCTCTTAGTCTCTCACTCCGACGCTTCTCTCTTATTTCGAGGTCCCTACTGTGGATTTGAGCATGTACCTCTCTTTGCCGCGCGCTTTCAAAACCAGAACCCATACGACGACGACCGGCGCTGCTCCAAAGACGGTTCCGGGTTTGCCTGCATCGACCCGGATGCCTCCTGTGTTGAGGACGACGACATCACCATCGAAATGGCGCAGAATTGCGACACTTCGGAGTTGGGAGACGGTTATTGTGATCAGGACAACAACAACGAAATATGCGGTAAGAGGTTGACGTGTTTGATATCCGACCCGCTGGACGTCAAGCTATGGCACACGTCAACGTGTGCGAGGACATCGACCTACGCAAACCACCTGACATTTTTTATGGCAGTGGTATTGGCCTTCTTTGCATCTCTCTCTCTCTCTCTCTCTCTCTCTCTCTCTCTCTCTCTCTCTCTCTCTCTCCCTCACTGATTCTCTCCTCGCTATCCTGTAGCGGCCCCTTGCGCACGTGCGCCCTCACTTCCCTCACCTACTTCACCTTCGAACGACTGCACAACCCATCCCGCCGTCTGTATTTTCTGCACGTTTGAAATCACGTCAGCAGCTATTGAGTTTCTGGTTGCTGTCGCCGTCAACTGCGGGGCTTGAACCCAAGGAAGACGTAAACCTATGTGTAACGAGTTGTTTCAATGTTTTACGATGTACTTCAAAGGTTGCACCAACATTTCCCGCACCCCTGCTTCTTCCTTGCCGTGCCTCTTTGCCTCAGGCTACGACGGCGGCGACTGCTGCGAGTGCACGTGTGAGGTAAGCAAATCGGAGAAGCACGTGGGAGTTCTCAAAAGTGTATGCTGTGGACCCTCTGCCCCGATTGTAGGTATCCCAACTTCTCTGTTCCGAACACCCGCGTCCCAACTCTTTTGAACCCTTTGTACGCGAGAGACTTTGCAATTCTGCCGTCTTACCTATCGGGTGAAGCACGTTAAAGGCATGGGTTCTCACGTTCAGTTGTCGTAAGCCTGCAGAAAAGAAGCACGACAGTTAGGTATCCAATGAACGAGACGCGGATTTGAATTTTTGGTGCATTCCCATACGCTCTGTACTTGCTGGCGTTGGTTTCCAACCGAATCGGTAGCCTCCCCCCTCTTATCCTCGCTACTGCTCTATGAGGACAATGCTCTCGAGGACGCGCGGTCCACGGTCGAACATCTATCGCGTGCGAAATATCAGTAGCCCCCCGCGCCCCTACTGTCCTCTCTATTGGTCTCAAACGGAAGTTCTTCCTGCTTTAGCCAAGGCCTGCTGACTTGTCACTTGCTTGACCCCTGACCTACCTCCCCTCCAGCCCGCCTTCCTCATCCTTGAACAAGTACTGCTTTTTGTCTATTGGTACTCGCGCTTGTGCCAGAGCCCATGGAACGACGACGACTGGTATTGCTCCTCCGACGGTTCCGGGTTTGCCTGCATCGACCCGGCGGCACCGTGTGTTGAAGACGACGATATCACCGCCATGATGGTGGAGAACTGCGAGTATGTCAAAGCTGCAAACAACGCCATTGTAATCTATGCACGGGTCCTTCTTGGTTCTGTCGAGAGGCGTTTCCCGTGTCGTGCGGCGTGTAGACGTCTATTGAGCGTCACAACTATGGGTGCGGTGCTTCCACTAGGCTTGCTACTCCGCCACATCTAGTCGCTGGCGCCCCACCTTGGGACGATTTGTACGAACGAGCATTTTTATTCGGGAATGACTTTCGCTGCCGATGTGATCTTCGGTGTGGCATGGATGTACGTGCAGTGACAGCCAATTGCCGCCGACATGTTTCGGAGTCTCTCACATGTGTGTGTGTGTTTTTTTTGTTTTATTATTCGCATCGACCGCGCTAACCGGCTGACCAATGAAAACGCTTCAGTCTCAGTGCGGTTGAAGACACAAAACTCTTCTAAATGCCATCAACAGACACCCCGCGAGGGGGCGGATGGGGGAGGCTAAGCTACATATTCTCCAGATGAAAGACAGAAACAGTAGCAACAGAAGAAACCTGCACGCGTCTACCAAGGCTGCTACCTTGCGCTCGAGTTCGTTTCGGAGTGCTTTCACCACGAGCCACCTCGCTTTCATCACCATCATTCTCATCATCGTTTTGACAGCAATGTTTCGGCAGTTCTTCTCTGGCCCTGCATCGTTTGTTGTGGGGAAGGTCATCGGGCTCGAAGCTCTTGCTATCTTCCGCTCCATGATTCCCTCCTCTATTGCTATGCTGGTGTCTGTCTTGACCTCCTCACGTTCCCTCTTCTCGTCCTTCATCGCTGCCAAACGAATTCCCCTCGTTGCATTATGACATTTTTATCTGAACTACTACTGAGATCCCAACCTATTGGCCGTGGTGGAAATCGATCAATCAGAATGTGTGTATGTAATTTTTTCTTCGGCCGTGCTTAAAAACCTATGTCCTCCATACATCATGACATGCTTGCTGTTCAGATGGTATCCCGCCCAGTATGATTTCCCAGAATCGCCGGTTGAGGAGCGTGCCCAGCCTTTGGTCCGCAATAGCTGCTTGGAATACGGCCAAACCGCTCGCGACTCTGACTCGTTGTCCTGCTCATCTCCAGATTTTGAAATGTAGTGCTGGAATAATCCTCAACTTTTTGCTGCCCTATGGTATAACGCGCTTGATTCCACTGACCCAGGTACGTGAGAAATGTGGGCGATGGATGGTGTAACAAGGGAAACAACAACGAACTTTGCGGTGAGCTTGCGTTGTGCTGTGGAGAATTTGTGCGGAAGTCCAAGCGGCTGCCCGTGCACACGCTGGCATTGGAGAGATTTTCGAGGTCAGGGACACAATTGGTGCCATCCGACCTTGATTTTTCGTGTTCTCCTTCTCCCAAGCTATTCATGACCTCTTTCCCGCCTGTCCCACCCTGATTGCCCAGGCTACGACGGCGGCGACTGCTGCGCGTGCACATGCGTGGTGAGCAACCTTTCAATTAGACAAAGCTCTAAAGGTATCAGTATTTCTTGTTCCTTGGTAGATCGCTTTGCCCTTGCCTTTTCACCGACTGCCTTGATCACCTCATGTCTGGGGTCCGAAAGGGCATGCAGTCCCGTTTCCGCATTCGTTCTGGTGTTGTACGAAACGCTTGGAAGTCGTATATATGCCAAAGCCGTTCGGGTGGAGCTTTTTCTTCGGCATGTCTTCTTCATCTGTTCTCTGTCCCAATGGTCAGATACCTCTCTTTCCCCGTAAGCACACTTGTCGTCGATTCGTTGCTTTGGATACGCATCCGTCAGGCTCCACCTGAGGACGACGACTGGGACGATAACTGGGATGATGCCTGGCACGGCGCCTGCGGCGGTAGCTTCGCCTGCATCGACCCCAGCGCGGCTTGCGTCGACGATGACGAAGTCACTGTCGGCATGGTCGAGAGCTGCGAAACTGTCTGGATTGGCAACGGCTACTGTAACATGAACAACAATAACGAAGCCTGCGGTGCGTGCTTATGGCGTCTTGGTTCTCATGCCCCTACACTGCATTGCGATCAGGACATGAAAGGCGTTAGGGCTAAGACTGTTTTACCACCCGAGTGGAATCAACTGGCCGAAAGAATATGCTGGAATGGCGCGAGCCATGTCAAGGAAACATGATGCCGCCTGAAACCAACTGTGACGGGCAATATGTCAAGCGTGCTCTGTTATCCAATGACAGAAGACGTGTTGTATGATAGGGCGTGGTGTGATGTGGTGTGCACTAAACGATTCTATTTCCGCCGTTCGTTTTCCATGCTCCCTCCCTCCCCCTCCATTTTTTCTCAGCTTACGACGGCGGCGACTGCTGCGAGTGCACGTGCGAGGTATGCGAATCATTGCTTCTCCTTTGCGGATTCTGAGCGAAACCCTTGAAGGGCATGAGACTGGTACGAGAAAACACTGCCAAGGATGCAG